ATCAATCCAACCCATGAGCACCCCTACCCACAGTTAATAAAAAATACGTATCAATAAATATATTAATTATTAAAATACTTATGGTTTTCATTTAAACTGGTTTGAAACATGTCTGGTTGACAACTTTTTTTTAATTTTATAAATAATTTATATATTAAATATAATCATAAAAATTATTAAATACAATAATTTAAAGTATTTTAATTACATTTTAAATAATTATCAAACAGTTTATTAATAAAATATAATTCACTTTGCATCTGAAATCAAGAGAATAAGACAAAAAAATAATTGGTGCCACAAGCCGACAAAGTATCACTTGTCATCAGTACTTGGACTTTCGCCAAGTTTATGACTTTTATTTTATAATACTATATTATAAAGTATTTTAAAAAAAAATTAAAAATAATTTTTTATACATAAAGTACTGTTTATTTGGTAAAGTAAAAGATAATTTTGCTAATATACAAGACATGTCCAAAGTTCAATCCTAGTCCACCGTAACCCCAGTCGCTGAGAGAGCCAAAAGATGCCTTTGGAATTGTTGTAGGACCGATTGGGGTTGTCTGTAATCAACTTATTACTTAAACAAAAGAAGTAAACTTTTTGATGGGTCAGTGATATTTCAACTTAAATTTAGTTAGAGTCTGTATATTAAACGTTTATCAGGTGTCACTTATCTTACTGATTGAGCATGACAATGAGCGATAATCTTTTCCGTTAAGACACAAAGCAAAAACCAATAAATTTACATGGTAAATAAAGAAAAAGACTCTTACCCATTAAACACTTACTAAACAAAACATGTTTACTAACAAATTATTTTAATAATAAAAAAACGTTATCCGATAAAATATGTAAATATAATGACTTTCATTGTTAAGCATTTGATGAACGAACCATTTTTTATTTATCATATTTAATGATATAGTGTCGCAAAATGAGCATGTTAAGTAAACTAATTGAAATTGTCATATATACATTAATGATATTAATTACGAGGAAAAATATTATTTATTTATTTATTTATTTCGTAATTCTTTTTTTTTTAATATTTATTTCGTAGTTATTCAGGATATTTTCTAAAGTATAAGATATGTCGTATTATACTATCTATAGATGTCGTATTTGAGTTCCTAAGTATGACTAAATTACAAGATATTTAATAATTAAAAAATAAAATAAAAAGATTTACATTTATAAAAATTCAATTTATTTTATTTAAGAAAATTCATTATAATATACAATTTCTAAGACCACAATATATCTATAATTTAAGATTTTGAATCGGACGAGAAGAAGAATAAAGATTGTCCTGTAAAAAACCAGATACCTCATCTATCAACATGGTTTAAAAACTGTGACTCTGTGTATGGACAAAACAGATAATATTTAGTACGGTTAAGCTGAGGTGTTACAAATTGTATATGAGTCAAGAACTGGACTGGTGTGTTAGCAAGGACACTGGACGTCTGAAAGGGTGAATTGTAAGATCTCACATCGTTTAGGGAAATAAACAAATGTTGCCTTATAAAATGATAGTTGGATAATGGTCACTGGATGATTAATTTGATGGGTAATTGAACGTTGATCTGTTCGGTTCGGTTCGATTTTGGTCGGTTCTGGATTGCCATCCGAGAACCTATCAATCCAAATTGGATGTTGAAATTTTCAATCCGATCCAATTACAATTGGGTATCCAATTATGGTTGGTCGGTTCCAATTGGATCGGTTGATTTTCTGCACACCCTTAGTTTCAAGTGGTTGCATGTACCACTGTTTCGTTTCTCTGTCATGGTGTAAAAAATTATAGGGTCGTGAAAAGTATTACTGTATACTTTCTTTTGTGTCACCTTATATATTTTAAAACTACAATGAGGACGCAAGTTCATCTTGGTATAGTTGGTTTGAAAGGTCTTTCTTCCACCCCAAACCAGAATATCTCATTAGTGTCATTATTTAGTCTTTGACTTTTATTTTCAAATTTATCATGTTTCTGAAAAATTGCCATAAAAGATTTGAATAGATGATGATTTTTATAAAAAAAAAATATCCATATATTTGTTTGTTATAATCAAACCATGACATCGCTTGAAGAAATTTATAGGCCAATCTCTGAAGGTAATAAAGATTGTTAATATATAAATATTTAAAATTTAAAAAGTGTTTGATATTTTCAAAAACATTTTGAAAGGTGAGTAGTGCGTGAGTTTATTTGTTGCATTTGTCGTATATAAATATTATATATATTTTTTTAAAATATGACTTAAATTTACTATTTAATTTATTATCATGTGTGACAGAATAAACATGTTACAACGTTTGAACATGATCAATCTTTCTTATTGTTGTTAAAGATTCCGTTAAAATGTAAGGCATTTTCGTCATTTTATCGATTTTTATCTCTTATTTGATCAAAAACGACTTTATGATTTTAGTCCATGTGGTTTTGATTGAATAAAAGACAAAAAAATCGATAAAATGATAAAAATATCTTTCATTTAACGGAAGTTTTTCAACGAGCGCTAGAGAAAGGGATAAAATTTTGACGCTTTTGCAAACCACGATGATCGTTTATAATCGGGCAAGTTGCATGAAAAAAGTAATTTACTTTAACTTGATTTCTATTTTGAGTAAAAATACTTTTAAAACTTTCATTTTAGTACCTAAGGTGTAAGTATTTAAACATTTAAGTATCCGGGTAATCGGTTGAAACATTAACCGGTTATCATGCTGATGTGGCGAGTGATGTGGTATACAAATCAGTATTATTTACTGGCGTGGTTAGTAGCATAGATTTTTTTTAATCTAAAATTAGTCATCAACCGGTTATCAGGGTACTTAAATGTTTAAAACTTTACATCTTAGATACCAAAAATGAAAGTTTTAAAAATACGTTATCCAAAATAAAAATCAAGTTAAATTACGTTATTTTTCATACAATTTGCTCGTTGTAATCATGAAACTATATTTTTTTGTATTACATTAAAATATTGTTTTTCATTTATTTTATTAGTGATTATTCATAAAAAAAGGATAAGACATTTTGTCATATTATTTATAGTTGACGTATTTGAGTTCTTAAGTATGACTAAATTATCTTGTAATTTTATAATTATAAAAAGTTTAAAAAAAGTTTACACTTATATTAATTTAATTTGAAAAACAATCATTGCAATATAAAAGCTATTAACCACAAGAGTGATGTCCGATTGGTTTTAACTTGAATTCCAAAGGTAAAAAATGTCTAAAGATCACAAGTTCGAATCCAAGGAGGAACAAAAATCCCCTTGTAGCTATAGAGATTCAAATACGGTGAATCTAGGCTATCCGCGAAGCGGATGGTCGTCCTGGGATTACATGGAAAACATATGTGACTGCAAAACCGGTTAATGCATGGGTGCACAGTTGAGTTGGTTTGCGATCAATATCGTATCTGATCATATGTGATTTTACACGTCAGTTAGTGTAAAGTTACATATTATTTGGTTATTGTTGTTCTCTTATTTTCTCGTTTGAATCAAACTAGAAAGAGTTTTAAATAAAACCATATGAATCTTATGTAGTAGAAGCAATCAAGAGATGGAAAATGATAGAACTCATTTTATTAATATCGTCGTTTAATATTATGATACAGTAGAAATATTTATGGAACTAGATATTTATTATAATAAATTGAAGGTTCAGATTCGTTTATATATTATAAAACATTTGACAAAAACTCTTAAAAACCATCTTTTATACATGAAATATTGCTTATTGATGCATGTTACTTAAAATTCAAGATTACAACTAAATTGCGCGTAAGTACAACTTATTAAGCTTCATGTTTGAATTCATGTAACTAACTGTAGATAAATATAATCGAATATATAATAAAATTCTTTTTTTAAATATAAAATCTAAAATATAATTAGGATAATTATTAAATTTTAATATAATACTTAGTTATAATCTTTATAAAAATTATATTATTAAGCCAAAAATAAATTATTTCGTTATTAAACTAAAATTAAATTATAATAAAAAATTTGAATTAAAGATATTACATATAAGAACTTTATAATTTTTTTAATTTTTATGAATATTCAAATTTATATTTTATTAAGTAAAACATTATTGTTTGCTCAAAACCACATAAATTCGTATTATAATATTGACATAAAGCAAAAAAAAATGAAACAACAAAATCGAGATATATTTCGCTACATTACATGAGTATCATTCTAATGTGTGTGTGTATATATATATATAGAGAGAGAGAGAGTGAGAGAGAGAGAGAGAGAGAGATAAGAGGGGGAGTTCCGTATTAACATGTAAACATCTCACGGTACGACATCATCTCTCTTTAGGATGAATATTCATTATGAACAATACATTAATGATAAATATGAAGATGTTCATCATGAATCACATATTAATTATAAATTTGTTACAACATTCACATATTACTAATTAATATCTTACATACCATACCCACAATCCTCCAATTCCTAAGCAATTTTAGGTTTCTAACAGAACGTGCCCTATACATTCACTTTTCATTGTTCAACTATTGAAAATGTGTTTACAATCCATATATATTAAAATGGTCATTTTTAAGAGTTAATCTCATCTCTTAGCAATTTCCTCACAATATTACAAAAATATCACTACCTCCATAAGAAGCAACCACTCGACTTATGGAGAGGTCAAAGTATAATTTTTTTTTCTGAACCAGGTCCGCAAGTACAAGGGCGAACTATGTAAGTCAGTACCAACACTTCCGCAGCGAAAGTGCCACTTGTGAACCTATATCTAATTTGCAGACCTGATTCAGAAACTTTTTTACCGTTTTACCGCTCCGTAAACCGAAAATAGCTTTTTTAATTAATATTTCCTATTCAAAATATGTTTTTAATATTTAATACACAAAAAACTCTCTCTCTCTCTCTCTTATCTTGTTTTAAAAAGGCCTAGACCTTGGCAGTAAATGAAAAAAAAAATCCTTCTTTCTTTCTTGATGCTAACCAGTTTGTAAAGAAAAATAGGTTGATTCAATGGGAAGATTGAATCTCAGAAAATCTAACCTCAATTTCGTTACAAACACTTGGGTTTTGATTCGAATCACTTCTTGTTTTTCTTGAAAAAAAACCCCAATTCCATCCATCTCATAACAACTCTTGATTTCTTCTGCTAAATTCTCAATAAGTGATGCTGAGAAACAGATCCAGAGCTGTAACAAAACAATCACCAATCATGGCTGATCACCAACCTTCATCTCTTCCATCTCCTACCCCACACAACCCGACCCGATCCATTTCATCTTTTCTTGGTTCTCCGAGGTTCTTCAATGGCTTCTTTCTTCCTAAAAAGCTTTCAGATGGATCACCCACTTCGATTCTTGAATCCAACAAACAATTCTCTGATTTTGCCGGCAACCCATTTCGATTCAACAAAAACCCAGAAAAACCCACAAAGAATTTTGATGGAATCAAGCATTCATCTGAGAAATTTGATTCTGAGGGAATTGCTCTTGCTATTGTTCTTATTGAAGAACCAAACCCTAGTGGAAATATTTGTAAACCTAATTTGTTTGGATCGAAATTGAAGATTCAAATCCCGTTACTTGACCCATATTCTCCAAACGGGTCTCCGGAATCGCCTGGTGATTTTGGGATCAAGACCCGGAATTCTGTGCTTTCGGGTGGTGCGACTCCAAATGGATCCGGGTCTGCTAGATTTTCTACTGGTCCTTTGTCTTTGAGTGAGATGGAGCTTTCAGAAGAGTATACCCGTGTGATCTCTCATGGGCCTAACCCGAAAACCACCCATATTTATGATAACTGTGTTGTGAAGAGCTGTTGTGGTATTCGGGTAGGGTCAATTGGTTCAGAACCGCCATTGGAGAGTATTGTAAGCTTTTGTCATACCTGCAAGAAGAATCTTGGAGAAGGAAGTGACATTTTCATGTACAGGTGAAATCCCAAATTCCAAGCTTTATTTTTAATCAACAAAATCAATAATTTATGGAAACTTTTATATCTTTTTCGAAATGGGTGATCCAAGACTTATGAGGTTAGCTTAATCGATAATAAAACTTGAACTTGAGCTTTTAGAATCCTTTTTGGGTCATCAGTTCGAGTCCTGCAAGAAGGTCGGGGTTTTCCTAACCGTTCTCCAGGACTCCTAGATTAGTCGAGTTGTGCACACACCTACACCTACGGTTAAAAACAACCCATTGGCCACGTGCACATATTTAGATGACATGATTCGAACCCGGATTGATTTTATCCACCACGTTACCATCCTCGTGGTTGATTTACGAAGAATCTTGGTTTAAAATTATAACAATTTATAGTGATCATTGAAGATTTTATGAGGGTTTTATTTTTCTTTCAAGATTATCTTTAAAGATTTCTTGATGATGATGATGGGGATACTGAATATATACATTTGTGTGTGTATGTTAGCAGGGGTGAGATTGGTTTTTGCAGTGAAGAATGCAGATGCCAAGAAATGGTTTTGGATGGATTGATGATGAATTCATAGCAATTTGTGGGGTTGAAATTACCATTATGCCCTCCTCCCACCCCACCTTCATAAATTCCAATTTCTTGAAGTTTGACCATGATCAGAGACACAGAGAGAGAGAGAGAGAGAGAGAGAGAGAGAGAGAGAGGGGATATTTTCAATCCAATGCCAAATAAACTTTTTGGGGTTTTGTTTGTTTGTTTGTATGATGCAAGTGTTGGAAGTAGTAGTAGTTGATGATTTTGGTTTTTTTCCTTTTTTATTTTATTTTTATTTTAAATTTATTGTTATTTTTCTTCTTTTACCATTTCAATCTCTAAGTATATGTAGAGATATTAATTATATATGATGTAGAAAAATAAATAAATAAATAAGAGGTTTTTTTTTGCAAATGATGTGAGAATGGGTTTCTTTGAAATCATATGATTGTGTTGTTCTTCACACTTTACTCTTTACTTTGCTCTTTACATCCCATTTTTCAATCATTGCCACTTTTTCTTTTTCTACAACATACCAAGGTGTGTTTGGTTGGATATATCTTAACAAGTAATTAATGAGAATAAAAATACAAGAAACTATCAAAGGGTCTTTGGCCTAAGTTATTGTAGAAGGTCAGAGGTTCAAATCTTACCAAAGATGAGAAGAATATGTGAGTTTATTTGTCATATATAAATATTATATACCTCAAAAGAACTATTTTATTCCAATTTAAACTAAGGGAATAAAAATTACCTATCATTTCTATTCCATGTCATTTTCATTTTTTTTTCTCTGTCTGAACCAAACAACCTTAAATTTCATTTCTTAAAATAACTACGACAAAGTTCAAACTAAAAAGATTAGAATACCCAAACTCGGTTTAATATGATACCCAAACCCGGTTTGTTTGAGAAATCCACAAGTTCACCAAGGATAGAGAATCCTTGAATTTGGTAACTAGAATTTGGGTCGGGGATGAAGGTAACCCTCAACCTCAACCCAAAGTATTTAATAAGTTTATATACATGTATAACATAATAAAGATAACAAAACCAATTACATACACACGTATGTATATAATATATATACATAAAAGAGAATGAGATTCATTTGAGAAATAAAATGATCTTAACCTTTTATCTGGTTAATATTTATGATTTTAACTGTGAAACATCAATAAAATATATATATATATATATATATATATATAAATATACTTGTTGTAAATTTCTTATTTACATGTAAAATGGATAATTGAAACGTCGATTTCCATGGTCACGTGACCATCACATGTTTACGTTATCTTTTTGTCTTTTTCCTTCTTTCTATTATTGTATTACTAGTATATGTGACGTGTCTCTCTTAGTTTCTTTTAAAATAATTATCACGTGATCAGGACTTTTATACATGTGTAACACCTCAACTTGGGGCTTACATCTCTTTTTTTTTTTTTTTTTCAAATTTACCTTTTAATATTCTTGAAATTTAAATCATTTAAACGTTTAGATATTAAAAGCATTTATTTTATTTTTAAAATAAGAGTTTAAAATAATTTTAAATACTCTTTAAAATTTTAAGTGATAAATGTATTCTTTGATATTTTTTAATTTTAATCACCTCTCTATCAAATAGTTCATATTTTGGGGCTAGAAAAGATTTGTTTAGCAAAACTATTTATCTTTTTTTATATTTTTGTAAAAAACTATTTATCTTTTATATTTTGGCATTAGTTTAACTCATTCAGATTTCAAACATGAAAACAAATAATCTTACTGATCCAGATTTCAGACTTCATGACCACCTCTTATAAATCAGAAGTGAAATCAAAATTCAAACTTAAACACCTCTTCAAAATAAATGTCACCTTACACTCCCCATGTCCTTACCAGACTTGTCTGCAATGTAGAATTCGTCTAAGATGTTACAAAATAACTCCTCGATGACTAATCCAATAGGGTTTGTGGTGTTTGTCGCACCAACCCATTGGTACAAGTATAGGCTATGATACAATTTGTAACATTCCAAAGCCAAAGCAATAGACTGACCAATAATTTCGAATCCAACTTTAAAACTATTGTGTAAGTTATTGGGAGTCCACAACTTGAGGCGTATAATAAGAAACACACGAATCTCATTCTATATCCATGTGGGACGAGTTGTTATAACATATATTCTAATTGTATATCAACGTTATATAATGTAATATATACTTCTGTTGTAAACAAAACAATGGAAAATTAGAGTCAAGTGTAATTTTGGTCTTTAACATCTTTAATTTTCAACGGATATCATTCATAAACTTTAAAAATTGGGATTTGGTCCCTCATGTTTGTCAATTCCCAATGGTTTTGACCCTCTTGTCTAACCATCATTAACCTTTTCCATTAAGTTAAATTAAATGAGGGGTATTTTAGTCAATTTGTACTATTTTCTTAATTTTGTATCATTTTAATTTGTTATGTATTATCCTCTAATTTCTTAGTCAATATTTATCAAAGTATGATTACTTTAGGGGTCGTTTACCTAAATGTTTATTCGGTAAGCGCTTACCGTTAAGAGTCAACACTATAATTGATTTTATCGGGTAAGATTGTAGTACATCAAAACGTATCTTATGCAACAATTTACCTGGTAAGCGTTTACCTTGGTAAGAGTCGTCACCCTCACTTACCGGGTAAGACTCTCCATTTTTATCATCGTTCTTGTCGGGTAAGATTTTTGCTTCTTGTCATGTTTCATCCGGTAAGAAAAATTGTCCAGTAAGTACTTACTGGGTAAGCGTTTGGTAAACAACCATTAGTTTATCAAGTAGATCTTTTAACCATTTACCCAGAACCAGAATAAGATATAAATGAATGAAATTAGGCTTGTTCAATTGACATTCATTGAATGTGAGGGGATTTGAACCGATCCAATCATCCATTGGATGTTGGATTTTGTCAACCGATTTGATTAACATTGGGTAACCGATACAATCCAATCCAATCGATGATTGGATCGGTTTGGTTCCATCTATTGGATACTTTTATATCCAATGGGATTAGATCCATACAGTGTGTTAATTCAATCCAATTCAATTCTCTAACAATGATACAAATTAATTAATCACTTTTGATATATGTTAAAACCAACACAAGGGAAGTTAAAACTTCAAAGTCTCACATAAAACAAATTATGATTTAAACAATAAATTAATTAGATAATGCTTGGATGGACAATTGGATGGTCATCAGATGATTAATTGGATGGGTAATTGAATGTTGATCGATTCGGTTTTGGTGGGTTCTATACTGCCATCCTAGAACCAACCAATCCAAATTGGATGTTGAAATTTTCAGTACAACCCGACCCGACCCGATCCAATTATAATCGAATATCCAATCATGGATGGTCGGTTCTAATTAGATCAGTCTATTCCAATTGAATCGGTTGATTTTCTACACATCCCTAAATGAAATTATTGGATTAAAACGTTTGTTTGGTCGAGGAATCATATCATTATACGATTTGATGCCCAATAATTGAGGTTACAATCATACAAATTATATTCTATATTAAAAAACCAACACAAACCTTTCCTTTTATTCCCACTTATTCTCTCCATCTTAAACCTATAAATCTTTTCTTTTGCAACTATGTACAAAAAATCATGACCGTTGGATCAATGGAAAAGCAGCATTAACACCAGAATCGGTTAGATCAGACTTGAACACAGAATCTTACATATGAAAAACAGTAGACTAACCAACAGATAAATTATGATTTTGTAAAATATATCCCTATATTTATTTTTTATAGTCAAATAATGTCTAACTTGGAAAAAGTTCTAGGTTCGTCTCTGGAATCAGCCACACAAGATATGGAAAAGTGATTCATACAGTCTAAAACCCCCATGTTGAAGTATGGAAATAAGGATAAAACCGTCGTTTACTAACATAAATTGGATATGCGTAACCGTATAAGATTGTGGTTCGTGTAAGAGGTTCAGTCTAGGTAATCATTAATTAAAATGGTTGTTTATTAAGTATTTTGTGGCAAGTGCTTATCAATGAATGCAATTTTGGTAAACATTGTCTCACTCGAGACATACTGGTGGTTGACTTGGTCACTATTAATCTTTTTTTATAAAAATTCAGTTGCATAGTCAACATTGTTTTTTTTAGGAAACTGTAAATTATATGTAAGTTGCGTAAGTGCTACATGCATAATCTTCAGTTATTTTAGTCAATTTGTTGAGAATGAGGCTATAAAATAAAGAGAGGAGACCTGATTAACTATTTTGGACAATTTCCTCTTACTTCAAAATAGAGCACAAACACGAGGTGTTCCTAGAAATGAAATGAGAGGCAGAAACTAATACTCTTTTCGTTTCAAAATAAGTGTCCACATTTTTATCTCAATTTGTCCCAAATAAGTGTATAATTTTGGAAATTAAGTAACTACTTTCCCATTCTACCCTTTAGTTATGAAATGAAAAAAATTAATTACTCTCTCTATTATCAGGGGGTAAAATTGTTATTTACTTCATTAACAGTTTCATAATTACATTTTTCTAAAACTGTATGCCTTTTTTTTATTTCGGAAATTTTGGTGCGGATGGAGTATTTCATAAACTATCAAATAAAAGACTTGCACCCATGATGACCAATAACAATATCCTCCTCCAGATACTTCCCCAATTGGCTATGTAATGTACTTTATCTGCCCGATTGTGAAAGATCATTCTACCAGAGGTTTATAATCCATCCTTGTGTGATTCCTGTTAAAGCATATACTCAGGGGTGAATGCAGGACGGACGATTTTAAAGCAGACTCCTCGTTCATCAGATATTATTGCAACCAACCATATAGTCTAAGTTGGCATCATTTAATGTATAGCTCAAAAATATTCCATGTACTAGAAGAATTACAATCTCATGAACCAAATCAAATGTTCCTTCTCTCACTACTCACAAATCATATAAAGATATATAATTATTTTATTAATTATAAGTTTATTTAATTTATTTTTTTTATTCTCTCTCTGATCATGTGTCTTTACGTAATTGGTGGACTAAAAGGAGACATAGGAATTGAGGACATCAGATGTTTACTGTTATTAGAAACACTCACCTTAGAGCCGGCATGACAAGTCCAATTTTCAAAGACGATAAACCATTTGAAGAACCGATCAGGTGACATATCGAGATATCTTAAATTTACGAATTGAGAATGCAACGTAGGCAATTCCGATCGAAATCATTCTCTATTTGAGAATACTTGTTACGATCATTTGTAGCTAAAACTGA